CCTCAATGGTTGTTGTTGGTGGCTTTGCTATTGTAATATCAGACAAAACTGCCTTCAAGCCATCAAAAGTTAAAAAACAATACAGAAGGACACTACATAATAATAAAAGGCTCAATCTACCAGTAAGAAATATCCATTCTAAACTTGTACCCAACACAAGAGTACCAGGTTTTATAAATCAGTTATTATGTAAGCTAAGTGAGTACATTGTCCCTCACACAATTATAACTGGAGACTTATATACCACATTAACAGCTCTACATAGATCATTGAGGCAAAAAAAAATCAATAAAGAGATCTGAAACTTCAACACAACACTGGACCAAATGAACTTACTAGACATCTACAGAAGACTTCATGCAACAACTACAAAGTGTACACTCTATTCATCAGCACATGAAACATACTCCAAAATAGATGATATTTCTGGACATAAATCAAGCATAAAAATTTCCAAAAGATAGAAAAAAATAACATGCATCTTCTCAGAAGTAGTGGAATAAAAATAGATGTCACTACCAACAAGATCCTCCCAAAACACACAAAGGCATGGACATTAAACAACATGCTGCTAAATGACATTTGGTCAACATAGAAATCAAGACAGAAATAAAAAAATCCCCAGAAACAAATTAAAATGAAGACACATCAGAATTTTTGAGATGCCATGAATGCTATTATCAGAAGAAAATTCACAACATTGCACACACATATCAATAAAACAGAAAGATTACAAGTGGCACATGATGTCACACCTAATGTCACACCTGATGTCACACCTGAGGCAGCTGGAATGACAAGATCACCAAAATTTATAAATATCATAAAAATATGGATGCAAATAGCTTCAGTAGAAGAATCCAGATCCCCAATATAAATCATAACTGCAGGGTATAGAAGAAAAAAATTATACACAACATCAACAAGACAAAAATCTGGTTAAAGGATAAATAAGATCAATGGACCCCTAGTCAGAATGACTAAAAAAAGCAAACAACAAACAAATAAGCAAAAGACAGAGAGAGAGAGAAAACCTAGAAAAGTACAATTATTTTGCTATTCTAATATAGGATAAACTGCAAAAAGCAAAGTCACAACTAACCCTGAAGAAATGCAAAAGGTTATCAGAGATTAATATAAAAATCTATATGTAAGTAAAGTAGAAAGCCTAAAGAAAATGGAGCACATTCTGACACCACAAAACCTCCCGAGGTTGCAACCAAAGGAAATTGAAGCTCTAAACAGATCAATGACAATCCAAGAAATTGACTCAGTCATAAAAAATTGACCTACCAAAAAAAGCATCAGACTCAATGGCTTCCAGCTGAATTCTACAAGACATACAAGGAAGACCTTATACCAATCTTACTGAAAGTTTTCCAGGTACTTGAAAACAAGACAATGTTCCCCAACCCATTATATGATTCCAGCATCATACTGATACCAAAATCTGGCAAAGACCCAATAAGGGAAAGAATTTCAAGCCAATCTCCTTGATGAAAACAGATGCAAAAATCTTAAACAAGATTCTAGCAATATAATTCAGCACATTAACAGATGTAAAACCAAGAACCACATGATTATATTATTTGATGGAGAAAAAGCATCTTTTCTTGATAAAATCCAGCATCCTTTCTTGATTTAAAAAAAACTCTTAAGCACCTAAGCTTAGAAAGGACTTTCCGCAAAACAGTAAGAGCCATCTATGATAAACCTACAGCCAACATTTTGCTCAATGGGCAGAATTTGGAAGCATTTCCTCTGAAGACACAAACTAGACAAAGATGCCCACTCTCATCCCTCCTGTTCAACATAGTATTGGAATTTCTAGCCAGAGCAATCAGGCAAGAGAAAAAAATCAAGGGAATCCAAATAGAAATAGAGAAAGTCAAGCTATCGCTTTTGTGGAAGATATGATCTTATATTTTGAAAACCCTAGGGAATCTGTCAAAAGTCTCCTAGCTCTGATGATCAACTTTGGTAAAGTCTTGGGGTACTAAATCAATGTGCAAAAGGCAGTTGCATTTCTATACACTAGCAAAAAGCAGAGTGCTAAATAAAAAGTACTCTCCCATTCACAATAGCCACAAAAAGAGATATACATTGGCATCCATCTAACCAGAGAAGTGAAAGACCTTTACAATGAGAGCTACAAAATGCTGCTCAGAGTAATCAAGGATGACATAAACAAATGGAAAAACATTCCACCCTCATGGATTGGAAAAATCTATATTGTCAAGACATCCATGCTACCCAAGGCAGTCTACAGATTCCATACAATAACCATAACATTATGAACACCATTTTTCTCAGATCTGTAAATGACAATACAGAAATTTGTATGAAAACAAAATGGAGCACAAATAGCAAAAACAATCCTCAGCAAAAGGAACAAAGTGGGAGGTATCACACTTCCAAACCTTAAGCTTTACTACAAAAGTACAGTAACCAAACAGCTTGGTAAATGTACAAGAAGAGACACATTTCTTTCACATACATGTGGAACATTCACCAACATAAGCCACATTCTGAGTCATACAATGTGTCAATTAATTTTAAGAGATTAAAATTGTCTTAAGTTCTCAGACAAAAATTTAATTAAATTATAAATTAATAACAACTTTTTAAAAATGCACAATAATACAACAATTAAGCTCATATTGTTCCCAAAACTTTCATACTGAAAAAGTCAACAGAAAAATAAAATTAAAAATATTGTAAACTAAATGATAACAGAAATTTTATCAAAATTATTGCATTGTATCCTTTTTGATAACTAAATAGTATAAAGCACATACCAAAGCTATTTATACCCCCACAAAGCTCTAGAAATTAATGAAAAGATAAAATGCAAACGCAAAAAAAATTAGTGCATTGCAGATAAATCAACATATGAGAAAAATATGTGACTTTAAACATATATATGAGTAAAGAAGACAGTCTCACATCAATAATTCAAACTTTCATTAAAAAATATGTAAAAGACATTAAACACTAAAAAAGTAAGGGAGCATTGGGTAATCAAGGAAACAGAGAACATACAATTACACAACAAAACATCAAAAACTGATGGTTTGAAAAGATTGAATTAATAATCCTACTATCAGGTTAATCAGAAAACAAAAAAAGAGGAAACAAATAGTTTGTCTCAGAAGCAAAAGAAGAGATATTTGAAAAGATAGTAAAGACATTAAAAGGACATTAAGGAAATATTATAAATAGTTTTCCACGAATAAATTTGTCAACAAGTGAACAAATTGTGTGAAACAGAAAAAACATCAAACAGAACATTAAAAATTCTGAATTTACAATCAAAAACTTCCCACAAAAATCTCTAGATCTCAATGATTACACTTGTAAATTTTACCACCTATTTAAGGAAGAAGTAACAAATTTTCCTCAAATTTTTATCGAAAACTGGAGGAAGGAGAAACACTTCCCAACATATTTATGAGACTAGCATAAACCTCATATTAAAATATGATAAGGACATTATAAGACAAAAAAATTATAGAGCAAATATATCTCCTAAGCTTTTATAAAATATATATTTTCACTAATATTTCAAGAAATCAAACCCATCAATAGATAAAACAGATAGTGCATTATTACTAATTTGACTTTATTTCAGGAATAAAAAATATGTTTAATATATTTTACATTGACTAAAGTAGGAAGAATGATCATAGAACCAATCAATAAATGCAGAATCCCCATTTCACAGTTTTAAAACCCATTAATAATTAACTGTAGCAGTAAGGAAGGTATAGAAGAGAAATTGCTCAATTGAATACAGTTTATCTATGAAGTCTCCAGTTAATTTCATACAACCTGGTGATGCATTAAATGTGTTTCCCCTACAATAGGGAACAAAGTATAGATATCTGGTCATACCACTTCTATTCAGTATTGTACCATCAATTTAAACTAGTGCAATAATGAAGAAAAAAACAAATAAAAATTATAAACACTGGAAAATAATAAAATCTCAATTCACAGATGAAACTAGTAAATATGAGGGACTCTATAAGACAAACAAAAAAAATACAACTAAAGTTAACAAGACAAACTAGCAAGATTTCAGGACCTAAGACTCATATTGAAACATAATTGCTAGATATCCCACTAACAAACACATGTGAAATAGACAATGCAACACAATATTTCTCATGACCCTACACATTTGTATTTGGGTTGATTCCTGAGACCCAGCTACACTCTTGTCTTTGGATGCTGTGAGATATTATCACATATTTACAATAAATTTTCCCTGTTGCCTTAGCTAGTTTTGATTTTATTTCTTATTGTCAGATCAACCTGTCCTATATTTTCCAAAGTAGGTGAAACAGAAAAGGATATGCCTAGTCTGGACAGTCGGAGGAACAGGTGAGTTTGTGTAACTGGGAAAGTTGAATCCACAACTTCAAGTGGACGAAAAGTATGATCGTGACCTTCACCTGTTTTCCCACTGCCACTTATTTATTACACAAGCACGGTCCTAAGTAACAGGGAACCACAAACATGACTATAGTTTCTGGTATAACTTAGCAAGTCCTAACTGAGAGGATTTCAGAAGGTTGTGTTTCTTAAAGACCCTTTGACTAAGCCATAGATATGTCAATGTTGACAACTGCAATAACAGCACAACAATGTTCCAAGGCATACCACCTTGGAATTTTTCTTCTAGACCAGTGCTTCTCAAATTAAACATGCTCACAAATCACCTAGGGATTAGGTTAAAATGCATACTTGGATGCAGCAGGTCTTGTTTTGAGGTGCAGAATGAGATTCTGTATATGTAACAACTCCCAAGATAATGCTCCCCCATGCGGCTGATTCATGGAGCATATGTTGAGGGGCAAGGACTAAACATAAATAAATAAATGAAGATGATTTGCCCCCAAGCTTTGTAGCTAAGACACTCAAGACATATTCATAGGAAATGCTAAAATTCATTATCAAAATACAATGCATTTGAGCCAAAAATTTAGAGTTATGGTTTATTTAGAAAGTGGAGGCATTGCCATGGTCATGACCACATTTTGCATGAGGACATTTTTCAAGGCCTGTTTTACATCTTTGTTCCTCAGACTGTAGATGAATGGATTAAGCACTGAGCTTACAAATGTGTAGAACACAGCTATGATTTTGGATTCCTCAACAGTCTTATCTGATGGTGGCCTCAGATACATGCAAAAGAGTGTCCCATAATACAGGATGACTGCCATCATGTGGGAACCACAGGTGGAGAATACCTTATGCCTTCCTTCCGCTGATTTGAACCGAAGTATAGCAGCAATAATGAAGGTATAGGACACCAGGATAATGGTGAGGGAGTTGGAGAGGTTGAAACCAGTTGATATGAACATGGCACGTTCTTTGATATAAGTATCAGAGCAAGAAAGCTTAATGAGCAGTGGGTCAGCACAGTAGAAGTGGTTGATGACATTGGACTTACAGAAGGTCAGGCGGAAGGTCAAGATGGCTTGGAGCAGTCCATCTGAGAAGCCATAGACATAACGAAATGTGGCCAAACAGATGTAGATTTGCCTGGACATTTTCACACTATAGTGCAGAGGGTCACATATGGCTATGCAGCAGTCATAGGCCATTGCAGTCAGAAGGTAAAACTCAGTGAGGAGAAGGGCGATGAAAATATAACACTGTGTAAAACAGCCAGTAAAGGAAAAGGTCTTTTTCTCTGATAAAAAGATTAGCTAACATCTGTGGGGTTGCATTCGAGGTATAGTACACATCCACAAAGGCTAAGTTAGTGAGGAAGAAGTACATGGGCATGTGAAGACAAGCATTCAATCTGATTAAGGTTATCATGCCAGGGTTGCCTGGGAGAGTGACAAGGTAAACAACCAGAAACAGCACAAAGAAGAGAGGCTTGAGTTCTGGATGACCTGTGAGCCCAACTAAAATAAATTCTGTTATTGCACTGCTGTTTGTGTTGAACATTTCTTTAGAGTCTGTGACTGTACTTGAAACTATGAAAATAAAGCAAATATAAAGGTACAAATCATTGTTCATGACAGTTGAAATAATTGTTCTCTAAAAATAAATAATCCAAAATGACTTCTACAATAATCCTACTTTGTAATTCTACTAAGCCATGATTTAACTTGTCTTTATATTAAATGACTATTATATTTTTATATCTATACCTATTCTCATACCTATATCTATACTTATAACTATAACTATGCATACAATTGAGCTATATCTCCTGTAAACTCCCATATTATTTTTGCCACTTAATCTCTACTTATCCTCAAGGCTTCGGCTAAAGGCCACTGCTTTGCGCAGGATTTCTCATTCTACTCTCTTCAGACATAACACTTAAATTCACCCCTTTCTACTCTATGCTTCCAGCACAACCTAAATACCTCTTATTTGTTCTTTATTATATTGCATCAATAATGTATCAACTTTCTCTTCTTCATGTATTAGTTCTTCAAGAGCAAAGTCCAGTTTATTATTTTACTGTGGGTACTCAGCACACATTTATATACTGAAATTTAGATAAAAAGTCAAAAAGTAGTGTAAACATGAAAGAATGAATTACATATAATGTGTTACTTATTTCTACATCCCTGCAGAGCTTTGCATGATGTCATGTACTCAAGAGAATTAAATGCTTTTTGACATTTTATGCACAAAGCAATTTCTTGGGACACTTGTTAACCAAGCAAATTCACAGACAGTTTATTTCAGAAGGTCTTATGTGGGGCACTGGAATCCTAATATTTTTACACTTATGCATGGGTTTCCAATGCAAGTTTTCCCAGACCACACCTTGGAAAGTCAGTCATAGTATCTCAATGAACTTACATCAAACGAATAACAAAATTTAACAAGTAAATAAATTATCACATAGTATCGTGAGGATGGCTATAGCAATGACTTGAAGTGTTTATAAAGAAAATAAATTAAGTCTGGTATAGATAGTATTTAAGTTGTTAAACACAACTTTTCTTCAAACAAGAGGTATTATAATTCCCTCTGGCTTTTATTTCTCCACAAATCACAACTAATGTTAATTCCTCTCCTCCTTTCTCTCAAGATGTTTTGATTTTTTTCCCCTTTGTTTAGTACTTATTTCTATTTTATTTCATTTTTTCACTATTTGCTCAATGCTTGTTTCCTTTCAAAATGACTCACCACATATATTTAATTACAAGTTTTAGGCCATTAATCAAGTGTGTCTTTGCTTCTGAAGATCTCCCTTGACCAGAACAGTAAGTATCTAATAAAAATGTGTGAATACTCCACTAATGATTACTACTAGCACATGTTGTACTTTTAAGTTCTGTATATGCAGTCACAAATTTAATCTCACAGCATCTTGTATAATAGCTACTTTCATTATTCTCATGTCACTACTGTTAAAAATGATTATCAAGATTATCTCATGTGAACACCACCTTTATTTGTTGCTGTTATGATATAGCATGCATCTCTGTGCACACAGCCAGAGAGAAGTCATGTTTTCTTTCAAAGCAAAAAATAAAGATTTTTGCTTTCCATGAACTGTGAAGGCAAGGAAAACCTGATTTTTAAGAATGGTACACATATATAATTAGTGGGCCTCAGTTTGAAACTCTAGTATAATTTCTCGACTAAAAGTACAGAAAGTAAAAACAAGGACTTGCTTCTAGTTCTAAAACACAGTTATTTTCTCAGTCTTGGATTATGGAAGTCTCCTGATGCTTCTCGAAGTTGTGAAATGTAGTCATATTTATACCAGGATGTGGGAGGTGGAGACCTGCTCTTAATGCAAATCTCAGAGGGAATTGAGAAGTAGCAGCAATGTGTGTTACATCTGGGATGACCCCTCTTGGGTATCCCTGGAACACTCTGGGATCAGGAAGCTAAGCGTATGCCTGTCATCTTTTCTGTAATTACTAATGTATCAGTGTTTGTCATGCAGATTTTGGGGATAGCACACAGAGGTTTCATCTTGAATTCTCCTTTTTTAATGTACTAAGAACACTTCATAAGATATACCCTCTTAACAATTTATAAGTGCACTATATATTATTGGTAACTATAGGCACAATGCTCTAAAACAGATCTATACAACTTAATCATCTTGCACAACTGAAACTTTATACCTATTGTACAGAAACTCCCCATGTCTCCATTCTCACAGTCTTGCCTACTACCTTTCTACTCTCTGCTTTCATGAGTTTAACTATTATACATACCTTACATAAATGGAGTCATGTTGTCTTTATCCATTTGCGACTGACTTATTTTACTTAGCATAATGTTCTTCAGGCTCATCTGTGTTGTCACATATACAGGTTATTCTTTTTTTTTTGAAGGCTGAATGGCATTCTTTTATATACATATACCACATATTCATTCATGAGCATCTGTGTTGTTTCCATATCCTAGCTACTTTGAATCATGCTGCTGTGCATATGAGAGTACAGATATATCTTCAAGATCCCACTTTCAATTATTTTTAATATATATCCAGAAAGTGGAATTGTTGGATTATATGGTCTCTCCATTTTTAATCTTCTGAGGCACTTCCATACTGGCTGTTGCACCATCTCACATTCCTATCAGCCATGTAAGTGAATTGCAGTTTCTTCACATACTCACCAACATCTATTAGCTTTTGCTCATTTGATAATAGCCATCCCAACAGATGAGAGTGGATATCAACTTGTGATTTTGATTTGTGCTTCCCTCATGATTAGCAATGTTGGGCATATTTTCATATACCTGTAGGCAACTTGCATGCCTTTTTTTGAGAAATGTCTATTAAAGTATATTGCCATTTTAAAAAAAATGGATTATTTGCTCTTTTACTTTTGACTTATGAATACTAGGAGCCCCTCATATATTTTGAATATTAATATCTATCACATATAAGACACAAATATTTTCTTCCATTCTGTAATTTTTTTTAAATTTTGTGCAGACAATTTTTAGGTGGATGTGGTCCCACTCTTTTTTGTTGTTATTGTTGCTTGTACTTTTTTTACTGTCTATAAGACATCACAGCCATATCCATTGTCATGGAAATTTCCCCCCATGTGGAAGAAACTGTCCTTTTCCCATTATGTATCTGTGTCACCTTTGTTGAAGACCATTTGATTGTCTATGTATGAATCTATGTATTTCTGAGATCTCTTTTATCTTCCATTAGTCTATATAACTGTTTGTTAAGGTCTGTATTTTGATAGCGATAATTACATTTTAATTACTATAGCTTTATAGCATTTGGAAATAAGATAATGGTGCCTCAATTTTTATTCTTTTTTCTTAATATTGTTTTTGCTATTTGGAGTCATTTGTGGTTCCATATACATTTTAGTATTGTTTCTATTTTTGTAAGAATGTCAGTAGTACTTTTTGTGGGGATTGTTTTGAATTTATAAGTCAACCTGTGGCTTTTTTTTTTTAACTTTCTGTCATAACTTCTTTATGTTAAGCATTAAAGATGAATGAAGTTTAAGAGAGAAAATTTGGCATAGTCTCCTGGAAGGCATAATACTATTACATTATTTTTATTTCTAGTCATAATAGTGTTATTATGAACCTAGTCTAAAAGTACTAGGACTTTACTCTGATTTCAATGCCAATGTAGTAACTAGAGAAAATATTGTGAGTTAATATATCTCTGAAATCATAAACTAAACATACTTTTACATGCTAATAAATCTACTTGAACTAATTTTAGTTCAGTGAACCATCGGTTAGAACCCAGAATCTATGTCTTCCTTTAATTCATAAGAAGTGATCTTATGTCACTAGTGAAAATGGGAACATTTATCTTTTCATGAAAGATCACTAAGCCGCATATGTGTACTTAGCATCAGTATTTATTTATTCATTCAAAAATGCAATCCTGAACATTAAATGACCACCCAAAATATTACACATATTTCTGCAAGAGTTACCAAGTTGAAATTAATATAAATTGTTTTTCAGACCACCTATAGTCTGGAAGACAAAATAGAAAATGTAGAGAAAGAGAAAAATTACATAAGAAGCAGAGACTACCAAGAGTGGCTTTCAGAAAAGAATTTTACATAATGTCAAGAAGGTATAACTGATCAGGGCAGTTTTTCTTCAGAAGCAGACTACCTTAGACATGCACAGCATTTTCAAGAGTGTGGATCAGGACTTCTCTTTCATTATAAACACTTTGTTACTTTTTCTTTTTCTCCCATGCCATCTTTCTGTATGTGTGTAACAACATAAAGCTATGGTTAGAATTTCACAATGAATACCTTTTGCAAGAAGCCTAATTAAATAGTGAGTTTTTCATGTTAAATCTAAACACTTAGATAATCTTAGGGATACTCCAGTTTACCCTATAACACATATCACTATTACATGGGCAAGGCCTGTTCAAATTGGACATCTGGCTCTTTCTATGGGGTTAGGGTTTTAGATTTATGTATTCAGCTTCTTTGTTTAAATTTTAACAGTAGACAAAACCTATAGTGAGGATTTTGCAATTAAATTATGCCTCAAACTGAAATTTTAAAAATTAAGTTAAAAAATAAGTCAGTAATTAGTAGACTAATCCTAATTCTCTAATTGTCAGTAGTTTTCAACCATGCAATAATTTAGTACTGGAGGCTTGATTAATATCACCAACACTTTCTCTACTAATGATTCCTAATATGCTAGGAATCCTTCAGAGAATTGTCTGTTGTGCCCCTTTGGTATTTATTTTATCTGCATAAGATTTAATGAACAACAAGGCTTATGAGAAACTCCATGTCTCAGCAAATAGAAAATAAGAGGCCAATGTGGACTAGGCATTCTAACGTTATTATTGTTATTCTGTTATCAATCAGAAACTAAACATTGGTGTACTTCTTTTAATTTGAGTCATAGAATAAAAAAAAAGTTAGAAAATATGTGTAAATCCCTCTAAATAGGAATCTCATGGTAAATGTTCTTTTTCTGGTTTGGTGTAAATATGAATG